CTCCTGTGCCTCGAGGAGCCAACATCCAGAGGCCGTGGCTGGGAGGCCACTGTCTAATGTCCCCCCGTCAGCACTTGCAGACCAACTAGGGCAGCGGGGAACAGCTGGTTCAGCTCCCTGGGGTCGCTGGAGGTGGCGGGGGCTGCAGGACGCCGAGGGTGCGACAGGAGGCGAGACAGGTGCCCCGCTCCAGATGGCACTGCCGGGCTGGCCTCCCAGGAACACTGCTGGGCTACCAGTGTGAGATCTCTGAACCCCAGGCCCTTTCCCAGGGAAGAATTATCAAGGCGGGCAGGCAGCAATGAGCGAGGGCCCCCTCAGCCCAGGCACTCGCCGGCGGCTTCTCCAAGGTCAGGTGGGCCCCCTCCCAGCGCCTCCGTCCAGCAGTGTGGCCATCTTCGTCAGTTCCACGGTGTCAGGTAAGGAGCAGGGCAGGGCTGGGGACTTAGTGCCTGCAGGCACTCTCAGGGGCAGTTAGGACAATGGACAGAGACCTGGATGTGACTGCAACTCAGCTAGTTACCAATGTGGGAACCGGTGAGAGGGAGCCTCCTGGACCCTCTGTTTCCTCCTCGATAAACCAGACTGAGAGCCAGACTTGATGGAGTCGCTCTATGTGACAGGCATATGACGTTGCAAGTAACATTTATGATGAACATACTATGTGCTAGGCTTGAAAAGTGCCAGAGTCTTGCCACAGCTCCACGGCCCTGTGTGACTGGACGCTGCTCACCTCCCCACCTTTATCTCGCATGATCTCCCACCACGTGTTGTAGCCACACCGGCCTCTGGCAGGTCCTGAAACCCATGAAGCTCTGGACCCCATATCGAGACCTTCACCTTCAGAGATCTTTCTTTTCCTTCTTCCCATGCTTTGGGTCTCAGCATAAACACCCCCTCTTCTCTGTCCCCCCGTCTAATAGGTTTGTCCTTGTTCTTCTCTAGCCCGGCTCACGCAGGTTTCTTTGACAGCACTCTTCGTAAACGCCAATTATTTACTTAGTTTTTACTCTCAATCATTTCATTTATGTGTCAGTTTCCCAGCTGGGCTGTAAAATCCGTGAAGGCAAAGACTATATAGTGTGATGTCCTGGCAAATGTTCTCCAAGTTTTTTTTCCTTTTTTTTTCTTTTTTCTGATCCTTCTGCCTCAGCCTCCGGGTAGCTGGGACTACAGGCACCTGCAAAGCCCGGCTGGGTTTTTTTTCCTTTCTTTTGGGTACAGACGGCGTCTCACTCTTGCTCAGGCTGGTCTCGAACTCCTGAACTCAAGTGATCCTCCCGCCTCGGCCTCCCAGAGTGCTGGGATTACAGGCATGAGCCACCCTGCCTGGCCTCCAATTTTTTTTTTTTTCATTTTTATTGTTTGCCAATTTCTGTGGTGTAAATGCTCCCGCCACAGTCAATTTCAAGCTGCCAATGGACTTCACTTGAACACAGAGTTGGGCGGAGCTGTGTGGTAGCACACCATTATCTAGTATTTCTCTTATGCCAAATCGATTTTTTTTTTTATTTATTCGGGAAGGGAGGCAGAGGGTATCATCGTTATGGGGGATGCTGCTTCTCCAGCCTTGACCTCCGCCAAATCGGTACTTGTAAACAACCTCAAGAGCAGTGTTCACAGTCACATGTAGTAAAATAATTTGGGGGTGATGAGTTTTGAGTATTGTCTATTTCTGCCTTTAGTATCATGTATTCCATTGTAAGTTCCGCTTTTAATTTTTACATTAATTTAATGTGATTTTTAATAATGGCTGTGTTAACAAATGGCTCATGAAATTTCTGAAGATTTAGTAATCAGCTCTCCCAAGCCAGTAGGGGTCGGCTGTAGCATACCACATTGATTACATATCTATCATGTTTGTCATTGTACCCCGATGCATAGCAAGGGTCCAGGCATAAGGTAACTGCCTAATAAATATTTTACGGACACATTTAAATAGCTCATGGAGTCTGTAAGGCAGGCCACAATTGTACCACATCCCAGAAGAGGAAAGTGATGAAAATATTTAGATACGAGACAGATTCAAGACTGGCGTTCAGGTCATCTCCAGTGCTAGGAT